CCTTTCCAGTGCTGTTCTGGCTAACGTTTCCAATGCTGTTGCAGGCGCTGCGGCTGCAGGGGCGCTGTGTTCGCTCCCTTTACCGCCCGCTCCCCCAAGAGACCTCCTGCAGTCCTTGCAGCTGGAGCCTCCTGTCTCATCAAGCGTGAAGGTAAACCTCTTCCCTGCTGGTGGATTACAGCAATGTAAACTGTATTTCTACCATACTGCATTTCTCCATAATTCTCCATAATTTCTCCATAATTCTACCATACTGCATTTCTCCATAATTAACAATTATGTATAGACTCCCATACTCATATAAAAGAGAGGTCTGATGAAAAGGCATATGAATTTTCATGAAATAAACTTGTTTGTCCTTCAAATGTGTAGCCCTGCAACTCTGCCACTCCTCAGCAGGAGACGAGGACTGATCTCCCGAGCGGGAGTCTCTTGTGGACCCAGAGGGAAGTTGCTAAAGCCACAGACGGTTTCAGTGTCGAAAGCAGGATTTGTGAAGGTGCTTTTGCCGATGTCTACAAAGGTCAGAGGCACAACAGAGTCTACATCATCAAGAGGCTCAAAGAGGCGAGTGCTCCCGCTTTTCCTTCTTCTTTCTCGAGGGGAATATTTTATTAGCACCTCTCGAACATTAGCAAGTGTCATTTAGTATTATGTGGGCCGGGAAACAGAACTGCTACACAAGACAAAAGGGAAAACAAGGGAAATGATGACTAATAAGTAAACCTAAATTCCATAGACATGCATGGGAGATATCTTACACAAGTAGTTCTATTAACTTTACCTGTGGGAGTAGCCCAGTTGCCTTTATACCGGCGTTTAATTTTCAGTTAATTAGTGCATGTAACACGTTATTATCATTAATGATACTTTCCTACTTTCTAAAGCAGTTTGTCATCTAGCTTTGCATAAAAGCAGAGCCCTAATAACTACTCTTGATGTTCTGTTGCGTGTTCTCATTTTTCAGATGGAATGCACGAGCCCCATCTCAACGCAGAGGTTCTTTCACACGGAAGTGCAGATCTGTTTTCGGTGAGCTCCCTGTGCTCCACACGTGTGGCTCCCCCTCGGCGGGCGCCGCCACTCTGCCCTCCTGGGCAGGGGCAGGGGCAGGGGCAGGGAGGCTGCCTGCGCCCCGCTTGGCACCGCGGGGCCGGCTCTGCGCCTCCCTCTTCTCTGCAGCCACCCGAGCTCGGGCAGTCCCCGCTAGCACCTTCCTGTCCTCCCCTTTGTGTCCTCCCAGCTGYAGGACGCAGCTTGAGTGCCCCTTGCTTCAATTTAGGAATTTAGTCCAGCTCACGAGAGTACTTTTCTGCGCTGCTCTCATTTCATTTGCAAAATCCTGTTGATCYGTGTTTGCAGGTGTTGCCATGTTAACATTTTGCAACTGCTGGGCTTCTCGGTAGAGACTGGATTACACTGCCTCATATATCCATACCTGCCCAATGGATCACTACAAAACAAACTTAGTTGTCAGGTAAGTCATTAACAGGGGTTCATTATCTGCCCTGTAAGGACACTGCGTGAAAAGCAATTATATCTCCTTGAATTCTGGGAAACAGTACAAGAAGGTCCCCAGATACACTTGACTGTTTGTATCAGAAAAGGTTACAACTCTTTTTAAGTTTTTCTGCTGCAAAGCAGAAGGGGACAGCAAAGAATTTCTGCTTTGCAGACAGGTAGCCCACACCTGCAAAATGTGTCTGTCGTATTATAATATTTTATTGGATTTGGGAATGTTAATGCAGAACACATCATCATATCCACTGACAGCACAGGCGGTGAAGTTTTACAGAGGCTCCAGGGAGAGCCATTTCTGAGAACTTTACACCTATTGAAAGAGCATTTGAAAATGAAATCACATGAACCATCAGGAAAGCAAAACAAGTATCAAAAACAGCCTCATATCTCCAATAATGGCCAATTCTGGATGCTTTGGAGAGCCAGGATCTCTGCTGTGTCTTTATCCCACTGTATCCTATGCCAGGCAAAATGTTCCATACATGAGAAGAGGTTCCTTCCGGGGCCTTGAATTCATCAGCTTCCTGCTGTGGACTAAACTTTTTGTAGTTTTGCTAGTGATTGCAGCATGGATAAAACTAAGCCTTTGGCTTGCAAAATACTAATGTCTTATCATTTTTATTCTGTAAAAATAAAAATACCAATCTTCTTACTTTCTCGCAGGATGATTCAGCTCCGCTGCCCTGGGAGAGGCGTGCTAGCATTTCCGTGGGACTAATCCGAGCYGTACAGTATCTACATAATTTTGGAATCCTCCATGGTAATATCAAAAGGTGAGGAGTTTGGCACTTCCTTGTTCTTCTGTTCATTCCAGGATTATTTTAATATTAATGGCGAAAGGCTTATATAATTTTGAAATCACAAATTTGCAGTGTCTTTCTGCTTTCTGTTATCTCTTATTCTGAAGGACATTGACCTTCTATATGTTTCATTCACCTCCTTTTTGGCATAATGGAAGTATATTCTTGTAGTAACATTTGGAGTGCTCTCTCTTTCCCCTCTCCCTTTCTCCCCACTCCTTCCTTCTTGCATATGAGGCCCAATACTGGAAGTTGTGTCCTTCAAGGTCTTGCTTTAACTGTTAAAATATAATTATTTTCCTTAAGTTAAGTAATACCCAACCAGTAATGCYATCTTCCCCTTTCATTATCATAGCTCAAATGTCTTGTTGGATGAAAACTTTACACCAAAGCTTGGACATTCAGGTCTGCGACTGTACTCTGTTGATAAGAAATCGGAGTATGCTGTGATGAAAACCAAAGTCCTACAAACTTCTCTTACTTATCTGCCAGAAGATTTTATCAGGCATGGGCAGTTAACGGAAAAAGTTGATATATTTAGTTGTGGTGTGGTAAGTTACCATTTTTCCACGTTCTATTGTTTTGTATGATGCTGATAGGCAGGAAAAAATATATATGAACATCCTCTCTATATACATATTTTGCCTGCAATGTTACATCACAGTTTCTGATTGTATAATGTGATAARATTTCTGTGTTCATGTTCATGTTGCAGTAGTTAAATATTCCTTTAGTTACAAAACTCATTTGAAAAAAAACATAATTTACATTGTTTTATCTGTCTATTTCTAGGTCTTAGCAGAGATATTGACAGGGATTAAGGCATTAGATGAAGGAAGACACCCAATTTATTTGGTAAGAAAAGTAGAAATAATCAGCACTAATCGGAGTAAATGGGGTTGTTGTCCTAAATTGAATTAACGTTTTACATAAACACAGACTTTTTTTCTTTCACTTGCAGTCTGCTTGCTGATCCTAAAGAAGTGATGTTTAGAAGCCATATTCTAGTTCTACTCACATCAATAGTCTTCCAGCCCTAAAATAGGAGCAGAATGTGTATTCCCATTTCACATACCAGACTCATCAGTGCTGGCCCTAATTATATAGAATATGCTCCCCTTATTTAAGGGGAAGGAAAAAAAAAAGCTTTGTGTTGAAACTCTACTGCATATTTTTTTACATGATGGAAAGATGCCTGTTATGAGCCAGAGTGAATGGGGAAACCTGGGTAGGAGATAACTGCAATTATATCATTATGATGTTTATCAGATATTTATGCATCACACCAGTGATTGGAATCTCTATGGAATTTCTATCCTGGCCTATTTGCCTAAGCTGTAATTACAGCTACAGTTTCACAAACAGCCAGAAGTGGCCAGACCCAGTGTGTGCCAATGACCCCATCCCAGTGAGATCGGACTGCGCAGCGGGACCTGCTCCTGCTCCTGCTCTGCTGTCCCGTTGAAGCCGCGAGGGGAAAGGGCAGTGGTCTCGCTTAGTATTTCCAAATACATAAGAGGTGTTCAAATGGATTCAGAAAATAAAGGATATGAGATTTCTGGGTTTTTAACAGGTGTTTGGAAAGTCCTGTGCAAGACTGCCGTTACATGCGGTGCTGACTATTTTGTCTTTCTTTAAATGGTCAAATCACAGGTGTAAAGGTGCAAGGGCTGCCTCAAGCAGCTGGATCTGCTCTGAGGAATTCGATGTTAGACACACGCAGAGAAAATCTCTTGGCTTTCTCCCCTCTCTGAGGGAAACCTCCTTGAGCTAAGGGAGATGATTCTAAAGATTTTAAGTCTGTAAACCTGCCACTAAGGAGAAATGCAGGAAATACATAGGGATACTCTTATCTTTTCACTGGTTCCAATAGAAATAAATGTCTGTGTTAATTTTGTTCTCACTAATGATTATGTCTTCCCTCAACAGAAAGATATGATTGCTGATGAAATTCAATCAGTGAAAGAAAACTCATGCTCCAAGGCCAAAAATTTTGAAAAGCTAGCTGCCAAGGAAATATGCCGCAAATACCTAGACAAGAAAGCAGGACACTTGCCGGAAGAGATTGCTGTTGATTTTGCACTGGCCATCTGCTTTTGTCTGAGAAAGAAGAATTCTAATATAGCAGAAGTAAGTATTTTAAATACAGAAGTGAAGTTCAGTCTCCTTAAGATGGAGATACGAAGCTACAGCATTCATGCCTTAACAATTTTATGTTTTACATAGGAATGTRTGTAAGGAGGGATCCAGGGATTGTTCCTTATTCATAGATTGCTTTGTTAAAAACAGGTGCTTGAAATTATGGAAATGGTTGAAAATAAGCTAAGAAAGCATAATGTTTGTGGAGACGGTGCTTCTGGATTTTCCACAAACACTCCGGAAGAAACRGATGATGAGACAATCAGCCTCAACGTGGTCAGTTCTTCTTCCCAGGAGAATAAAGAGGATGGCACACAGAGGAAGCCTGGGACAGGGGCCGGTCCACGCGCACCTCTAGCTGCAGTTGTGTCACCCGACATTTACTGTGGCCAGATGGCGAGGGTCCCTTGTGAATCAGATGAATCGAGCAGCTTCCTATGGAATTCTGCAGAAGGGTTTCCAGATGAGCTACCCAGCAGCAGCTGTTACAATTCAGAAAATACCACAACCTCTGAGTACGGAAAAAAGGAGGAAAGACCAGTGAGTGAACTCCAGGCCAGAAACGAAGTGTCCATCGAAAGCGATGAGAACTTGGAAATGGTGTCAGCTGCACAGAGCACCTTTCAACAAGCAAACACAGACCTTGGCGCCTCATGTTCCTCCCAAGGTAAATCCTGGTAATTCTGAAGGGTGGACACGGAACAGCTGGGCACACCATCTTCAGGGGGCTATGGCAAAACTGCTCCTGCTCCTGTTCTGAAAAGCACAATCTTTGTAAAATGGGCTCTAATATTACAGTAAAGTTCTTCTTTCTATATAGAAGATTTCAGTAAATCCTGCATTCTTGATTTGGTATTATCAATAAACCTACAAAATATTCTCTGGTTTTCTRTAAGATTTTTTTTTCATAAATTGGATTTTTTAAGATTATAAATTATTGTCTGTTCCCAGATGTTCTGGATGTTTTCTCAATATTTCTTTGTTTTTCAGCATTACCTGGAGAGACATCTTGGAAAATAAAGATAAATGATCAAAAGAAGAAGCTCATGGAAAATATTTTACTATATGAAGAAGACAAATTAAGCAGTTCTGAACTTTTTGAATCTTAAATTGGATGGATTTATTAACAGTGGCCAGCTCAGAAGAAGAAATAAAGACTAATTAGAAAGATGGTAAAAATATACCTTTCATATAAGGTTAAGTAGCAGATTTTGACCAGAAATATTAATATTCTCTGAAGAAAATGAAAGTGATCACATTTGAGATGAATCAGAAAATATCTGCTCTAAGAAAACAAAACAAAAAAGTGACAAATATACATTAACAAAATGGAACTCTATAAATRCCTTCTTTCTTCTCATCTACAGTTTAAGCAACATATGACAAATTCCAACAGCTACCAACAGCAGTGACTATCATAATGATATTCAAGGTTCTTTTGCAATGCGTTTGAGAAAGCATCTGCATATAATGCATCTCTTATTTAAAATCACAGTCCCAGAAGCTATAGAGCAGGCAGTGAGCAGCAGCTATCTAGCAGTACTCTTTATTACTATCGTGTTGTACACCATCTCTGAAGAGATTGAGGGGGTTTCAATTTCCGAAAGAAATATTTTGCATATTCTTCTTCCACATGCTTGGAAAATACTCTCTACCGGAGAAAGCATTTTTACGCAAGTTCTCAGATGAATTCCATTTGACTCTTCTTCAACATGAATTGCACTGAAAATTGTTTTAAGTGAATAATTTAAGCCATGTTAGTCTGCTCTATGTCCTGCTTTACTAACTCTATGTATATTACTAACTCTTCCTTAAGTCTAACTTCCAAGTTTCACTGTCAACAGCTTTAAAACAGTGTTTAGTACTTTGTAAGGATATTTTTGGAAGTTAATTTCTGTGTTCTTTACATGTAGCTAAGGTCTCCTGGTAACTCCTATATATTTTGGATTAGGAACAAGTTTTTAATTTAAAAACTACTTTCTTTCTCATGGGTCATTTGAATTTGATTTGTTAAATTTCTTTTGGTAACGGATAAATCAGTCAGTGAAAGATAAGCTAGTAAATGGACCTGTTTGCAGAGCCCCACTCACTGAGTGTTCCTTGAGACAGAGTTTTTGTGTGTCTTGTGGCTTGCCAGCAACAGGAGAAGCCCKGGGGTCACCTCCATGATCACTCTGAAAAGAAAAAAAACAGTGTCTTGTGTGCTGTCCTATTTATTATCAAGTGAAAATCCTTCAAAAAGGGAGTGTAACTTTTATTGTTATGAATATTTATTATTTGTTTTATTGTTTGCATTTTCCACTCTCATGTGGTCAAATGAAATACAGGTTTATGATGAGCAAAAAAAAAAGAAATGTAGCTCAGCACACCAATGCCTCATTAGCATGGGTAATGAGACCCACTGTATGGAAATGGACAAAATTCCCACCAAAGCTCATAGAATATCTGAAAAGGCCTGCAAATTTATATGTATTTCTTCTCACAAGGATTCTGCAGTGGTATAACTTTCCAGGCTTTACATTAAGATTGCAGAGTATGGCCCCATAGCTTCTATATTTGTGTAGTACATAGTTTATTGGGGATAGTATTATGCACAGATAAGAGTATTTTAACGTAAGATCTGAGTATTATAATAATGTACGCATTTATCAAGTTTTTTTACACTAAAAACTAATAGAATTACTTAAATATAAGTGCCTTGCATATTGTTGATCTGTTGATATATTTTCTAGTGACAGCTAGTTTTATTAGATACAAAAAAAAAACAGCACTGACATAAAGACCATTAAGAGTATAATCAAATTATCAAAAAAAAAATTTTTTAAGATTTCATTGAAATATTTTGGTGCTGAATACTTAATATTCATTGTTTTTGATGTTTATGTTTTGGGGGATACATGGTTAATACCTCAGGTCTCTTCCACGAAGAAATGCATATAGATAAAACTACAGAGCCAAATTTTAAAAAATGACTTCTTTTTTTCTTTCCAAAACAATAATTTAGACACAGTTCTAAGTCACAAAAAAAAGCTTTTGTTCTCATTCCAGTACAAAACAAAACTACTGAAGCTGCAATTGATTTTCTTTGCCTACTTACATGTTAGCTTTAAGATATTCTGAAGGAAAATATATTTTTTTAAGGTCACATAAGGTACTATATATGAAATACAACAAGAATCTACAATGACGGTGCGCTGGGACCAAACCCTTGGCTCTCCAGTGCAACGCTCACTTGGCAGATTAATAACCCATTAACTCTTTTGTGAATAAAATACCAGAAAGCCTGTTTCTGTTTGTCTTGTTTCCACTTGACTTGTGCCACAGCAGGCCGTGTCTCGGCCGGCCCGTTTCGGTGTCATGTTCCTGAGGAAGCCGCTCCCAGGAGCTCTTCCTCGGAGATGAAGGAAGTTGCTGCTCCCATGCTGTTTTAACATGAACTCGGCAGTAAGGACAGAGTCTATAAACCCGAAGCCATTAAGAACTCATAGAGTATACGTGTAAAAGGGCCGTTGTCCGCACGCCTCCTCCAGCCGCGGCAGGCCGTTCCCTCGGGCCATTCCCTCAGGCGATGGCGGCCCCGGCCTGCGCGGGCTCCCTGCAGGCCGGGTGGGCTGCCCTGCCGCAGCGCTGCCCACCAAGCCTGGAGCTCGCTGGCGTGCCCGGCTGCTCCCTGCAGAGCCCAGCCTACCGAAAGGCTGAGCTTCACCTCGGCCGATGGATCCACGGCATGCAGGTGCCCACGCGGCTGCGTGGCCTCAACATGCACCGCTGTGCGGGGGCCCCGGGCGTCCCTCTTCCCTCATGCCTGCTGGGATGGGCAGCTCGATGCGTGGCCAGAGATTCCAGTTGCAAAGTTCTGTGAGGCTGCATGCCAGGGCCATGGGCTCCCGTGAGGTCAGTGCGGGCTGGCCCTGCGAGGCGAGCTCCTGCGAGATGAGCACAGGCCAGGTCGGAATGGCGAGCTCCCGTGAGGTGAGCACAGGCCCGTTGTGCATGGAGAGCTGCCACGAGGCGAGCAGGGGTCTGGTCTGCATGGTGAGCTGCCATGAGGTAAGTGTGGGCCTGTTGTGCATGGTGAGCTGCCACGAGGTAAGTGCGCACCGGGCCTGCATGGCGAGCTCCCGCGAGGGGAGCATAGACCGTGTCCTGCATGGCGAGCTCCTGGAAGGTGACTGCAGGCCCAGTCCTGCATGGCGAGCGCGCAGCACCCTCTGGAGGCCTGTGGCTTGCAGGGAATGGAGGGAGGACTGTAGGTGCCTACTGCGCCGAGGCTGGTGACTGGCGGCTCTTTCTATGTGACGCGCTTGAAAAATAATAGTTGAGCTGTAGATGTGCTGTGGAAGCAACGTTGGTGCTCCTTTCCCAGGCCACAGGACAAAGGAACATGCTGGTGGATGGAGGCAATGGCTGGGATGAATTGTGTGGTGGGAGGCAGTCCTGCCTGGGGCACGCGCGGCGGGAGTGCAGGTGGGAGCGCAGGTAGGACACACGTGGC